AGCTGCATCTATTTATGACTAACTTGTACTTTTTTCATTAAACTTGTTTAAGTGAAAAAGCAAGTTTATTTCAAGGGAAATGTTAAGGAAGTAACAGTTTAGGATATTGGCAGAATCACAACTGTAGTATCATTATTAGAACAAAGTGATTCAATTAATCCTTATTTAATGAGCATCCCACACCTAATAAAATGCTACATTTGATAATGGAGCGAAAAGCTATAACGGAAAGAGCAGTAGACTTTTAAGTTCATTGGGTAAGTTGCAGTTTTTCCATTCATTAACAGTATTACTTTGGCAAGTTGAGGCATCTTGTGCCAGAAGCTGTATAAAAGAGATTTTTTAAAGTTTCAAATGCCATGAAAAATGTAATTTGTTATTCTGTCAATTTATTCTGTCCCACATCACAAGCTGGTAAGTGTAGCTTAGAAATCAGTGTGGGGATTTAGCCACATCTAACATGTTAAATGGACATGATAGTAATCTGGTTTTCGTTCTTCACAAATATGTCAGAGAAGCAAAAGTTGACTATTATATCCCAGGCTTGAAATAAATCTGTTTTGAAATGAACAGAGTTCACTAAAAGAAATAACATTGTGGGAGAACCTACTTGAATAAAATGATCACAGAATTTCTTTTGTTTTGTTGTTTTAAATTTTTTTTTATTGTTCAAGTATAGTTTTCTCCATTTTCCTACCACCACTTCCCCCACCCCACCCATGCCCACCTCCCACCCTCAATCCTTCCCCCCTTTGGCTTTGTCCATGGGTCCTTTATACATGTTCCTTGACAACCCTTCCCCTTCTTTCCCCATTATCCCCCTAATCCCTCCCATCTGGTTACTGTCAGTTTGTTCCTTGTTCAATATCTCTGGTTTTATTTTGCTTGTTTGCTTGTTTTGTGGATTAAGTTCCACTTATAGGTGAGATCATATGGTATTTGACTTATACTGCCTGGCTTATTTCACTTAGCATAATGCTGTCTAGTTCCACCCATGCTCTCACGAAGGGTAGGAGCTCCTTCTTTCTGCTGCGTAGTATTCCATTGTATAAATGTAGCACAGTTTTTTGATCCACTTGTCTACTGATGGGCACTTAGGTTGCTTCCAGCACGTGGCTATTGTAACTTGGGCTGCTATGAACATTGGCATGCATAGGTTCTTTTGAATTGGCGTTGCAGGATTCCTAGGGTATAATTGCAGCAGTGGAATTGCCAGTGAAAGAAATAACGTTGTGGGGGAACCTATTTAAATAAAATGATCACAGAATTTTTTTTTTCCTATGGATTTGTCATGTGAGCTGAAGCTGAATACTGAACAAGAGACAACCATAAGGAGGAAAAAACAAACAAACAAAAGTGGGAAAGGAGTATTTCTATGAAGGGACCAGCCTTTGCCAAAAGTAGAAAAAGGTTGCTGTTTCCCAGGAGCAGAGCCAGATCACCTAGGCCTTTGCAGGTCATGGAGAGCAGCTTGGATTGTACTCTGCGTGCTTTGGAATGCCATTGAGGAGTTTTTGAAAGATGACTCAGTCTTCCGAATTTCAGTTTGAGTAGCCAAGCCGGTTATATAAGTCGAGGTGAGGGCTAATGGTGTATTTACTGGAATGTGGCTGTTTTGTGAAATCTCCCTAACTTTCCCCAGCTCGGCCTTGGTCCTCAAAGCCCCTTTCCCTCCCCAGCAACTCAGGTGACTCCTATGTCATTTGTGCTGTTATGCTTCAATACTGTTTTGCGTTATTCTCCAACCCACCCAGGTTCTTGATTCAGGACCACAGATTATTTAATCTTTGAATTGCCCACAAAACTTACTTCTGCGTCTTCAGTCTCATAAAGGTACCATATGTATTTGTTAAACAAGTAAATACACAAGTGTGTTGGTCTCAGCACTCAGAACCAGCTGGGAGGTTTAAATATGGATGCCAGGGCCACAGTCCCAGAGATTGATTCACCGGGTTTGGTGTATTTGCTAGGAAACTCCCAGGGGATTGTGAGTTGCAGTTGGGAGGGAGAACCAGGAGGCTGGGCTGATTTGGGTGGTATTACCTGGGAGTGTCGTGCCCATCCCACCCCCTTAAATGCCCATATATTGGCCTTTTCATCAAGAATGTTGAAGGCATGACAAAAATGCCCTGGTTATCTGGCCTTTAAAGTTATTCAAAATAATGAATATGGTACCTATTGTAGGGGGTAGCAGGACATAGAGCATTATTTTATTACTGATCCAAGTCTTTAGGTTTTGCTTCCCAGGAATGTTATCCACTAGCTTTCCTTTGGAAGAAGATGATAAATTACTGTTTTTCACTAGACACCTGGAGTTTGACTTATTTTTTATTAACCACGGACCCCAAAAACCTCTTAACAAGGAAGGGATTAAAACATGACTTCGTCAAGCGTGGCAGTTGTGTGTTTGCTCAAGTGTTTTGACTTCAGGAGGGGAAGTCTTTATTTAACTCTATATAATGTGAATGTCATACTATAATTTTAAGACGCCTGCTTCAAAATAGAAACTGGGGTGGTGGAAATAATAGCAATAAACAAAAATTAAACTATACTGGGCTCAGTACTCAAGAACACTACCCAGATTCCAAGAACTGGGCAAGGAATAAATCCATAGGAGGGAAAAGGCAGGAATGGATAGAGTTGTAACTACCTCCATTAAAAATGACCACTCTGCAGTGTGATCACTGTTGAGCAATTCTGTGGGGCATTTGTCATGTGGGTGGGGTTCCTGGACTTCTCATTTCAGTGGCAAGCTTCCAATGGAATTTGCCTTTCTAAGGTGCCAGTGCTAAATATGCCAGTAATCACAGTAATCTTGCATTGTGTTTGAGCTTTTGTAATGCTGTAAACTACTTGGAAACAAATGGACCAGAAGTAAGAATAGGAGTCCATGGCAGCTTTAAGTAAAGTTATAAGAAAATGTTCATGTTTCCCAGGATGCCTAAATGTCGGGTGATTTACATAAACAAAGGAGGAAATCTTTGTGTTTAGGGGTGTGTGTCTAATACAGGAACCCATGTTTTCCTGTTATTGAAAAGCATTCTTTAATCTTTTAAGCATGTTTTAGGACCTGCATATATTCCAGGTGTGTTGTTTAACATTAAAACACAAGAGCAGGGCATGGCTAACAGAGAAACCTATTAGATTTCCCTTTGTGTCATAGGAGACACAAAAAATAAATGAATTGAATTAAACGTATGGCCTGGATCCTGAGCAGACTGGTAATAGTTATTCCTGGTGGGACTTAACAGGCCTGTACTTGGAGTTGTAGGCCAAAGAGGCCATTTGTGAATAGAAAATGATAAATTTTCTCTGATTGTGGGCATTAGGGGATGATGACTTTTAAACCATGAAAGTAAATGTAATTGGCGTGAAATGTTCAGAAGCTTTTAGCCAAATATAAATGAAATAATGGGTAATAAACCTAAGCATTATTTTAAATTAAAAAAGAACACTTGCTAAATTCTGGTTAAGAGCAAAGAGGTGAGATTGTACTGAAGTCATAAAAACAATCTTTAGTCCTAGAAACACAAGGACTCTGAAGAGACCTAAAGGCAGGGTACCCACGTTTCGTTCTCCTCTTGGTCCTACTTTCGTGACCCCAGACCCTTTAATGCAATAAACTCGGGCACTCACGAAAGGAGGGTCTTCTTACCACCAAGCAGGACCGGAGTAGGTGCTTTCTTTCCTTCATCCCTCAAGGATTCTCTTTGCCATCTGTTGAGCAACTGCATAGTTATTTGAAAATGTGGAATCTGTGGGGTTATTTGAATCAAAGAGTCATGGAAATGAAGAACAAAGGGGACCAGAGGGGAGGGGAATAATGAGGGAAAGAAGGGGAAGGATCAAGTCAAGGAACATGTATAAAGGACCCATGGACAAAGCCAATGGGCAGGGGGACAGGGAAAGATTGAATGCGGGAGATGGGGGTGGGTAGGGCAGGGGAGAGTGATGGGGTGCAAATGGGGACAACTGTTATTAGACAACAATAAAAAAATAAAAATACATATTCAAAACTAAAAAAAAGAAGAAAGAATATGCCACTCAAGTACAGTCTTAAGAGGATGGCATTCATTATGATAAGTAATGCTTTCCTCTCTTCCTAGTTCCTGTTATAGCATCATATCTGTTAAATCTTATGATTCCTATAGCCAAGGTTCATAGGAGCTTCTGGGAAAGATCTTTCAAAACACTTGACTACCGCCCCACCCCTGAATCTCTAAGTCATGAGGTAAGAAGATGTAGAACTATTCCAAGTGACTCCCTCCTGGCGACTAGTGCTGGACTTCTGTCTGCGAGGCGGCACTCCATCGTCAGCATAACTATGGCTGAGGGGGGGACTGTCCTGGTCCTGCAGGTCTGGTGACCTCAGGAATTTATATTGGTGGGAGGAGGCCCCAGAATGCCAGATACAGTCATAACCAGATGCAAACTCGATACAAACTGGACTATATTTTAAAGCCAAACTGTTCTCTCTCTCTCTCTTTTTTTTTAAATGAAGTATGACTCCTTATCACTGAAACCTGAAATATTTACACTGGACTATAAAATTAGAAGTATGCATTGCAGTTCCTTAGGGAAGCCAGTAACCTCTACTTCCTGTAAAATTCAGCCTTTCCCTGTGACCCCTACCTGGTGCCTGTCCACCCTGTATGTTTCTTTCTCTGTAGTTGGTCATTGTACATTTGCAGCCTCCTTTAAAAGTGCTTGGTGTTATTTGGTTAAGTTGTATTCAATGTGAATGGATGAAGACATAAACAAAGCAGCCCTTAAAATTATAATTGTATTGTAACTGCTCGAGTGTAGAGATTATAACTTCTATATCTTTTTAGTTTACCCCTCACCAACAGCACCGGTATTCATTCTCTTGAGATACATGTTTCTGTGCATGTGTATTTTTCCATCTCGCATATGCACGTACCTGTGAGATAGAAGCACTACTAGCAGGGGAAACAAACCAACCTGCACACCCACTAACCCAAGTCGTCTTTTCTTGGCAGTGACAAACAAGAAACCCACACAGGCATCCATTACGAAGGTCAAACAGTTTGAAGGCTCCACGTCGTTTGTGCGGAGATCACAGTGGATGCTTGAGCAGCTTCGCCAGGTGAATGGCATCGATCCTAATCGGGTGAGTGGCCTGTCGAGTGCTGAGTGAAGGCATTCTCTTCACACAATGGCCCTTTCATTGACCTTGGCAGTAGGGGTGGTTGTCTGAGCTGTTTTTTAACAAAGCTCTTTCTCTATTTCAGTTATGTGGCTAAGACTTTCTGATTTCTGTGCCCTTCTTACAGGGAATTATAAATATTTTCATCATGCTCGATGCAGAAACCTAAGGGGGTACAGATTGAAGAAATGCTATCTCCAGTAATATGTTTATCACTAAAATGCAAAGACCAGAGCTCAGATATCATATCCATGGTTATCAACATGAAAAACCATGCATATCCAAGCTGTATATACCTCCTCGTGCCTCCAATGGTGATGTTTTCAAACAAACAAACAAATAAATAAAACAGCTCCTAAAAGTTTAGGAACCTATTTGGATTTAATATGAAAAATATTTTGTGGTAGAGTTATTTATTCAAAATACATTCCCCTCTTTTGCATGTAAGTTGTAACTATATGCTAAAATAATGGGGAGGAATATTTTCCTGTCAAAGGTTAGGGGCAAGATTAATATGGTTTAGTGCTGAAAGAACTATGTTCCAAGTAATTGATAGGGTGATATGTAGTCTGAATTTTGACACAAGTCAATGTGTGGGAGGCTATAGGGACTTCTGTGATCCTAGCTTCCTAGGGACATCTGTAAATACTGTAAGACCCGGGGTTTCCCTGATAAACAGAGAAAGGTAGATTCTCCATGCACCCGGATGCTAATAAAAATGAGCCTTAAGTTTAGGATCAAAGTTTAGAAATGTGTTAGCTTTTGTGAGTCTTATGTTGGGCATAAGCTAGAAGCAGCAGTTTTTATACACTGACATCAGTAGTTATTTCACTGTTTTTTCCAGGATTCTGCAGAGTTTGATTTGTTGTTTGAAAATGCTTTTGACCAGTGGGTAGCCAGCACAGCCTCAGAAAAATGCACCTTCTTCCAGATCCTCCACCACACCTGCCAGAGGTACCTTACGGACAGGAAGCCGGAGTTTATTAACTGCCAATCCAAAATCATGGGAGGTGAGTGGGCATTTGTATGACTTCCGTCATCCTGTTTCCTTACACTCACTTTTACATAAAAAGTTAGGTGTTCCTCAGCATAAAGGCAAAAGAAGAAAAGAAAAGAGTCAAGGTGCTAGAGAGCATGAGAACCAGGTTAGATAGTTCATTGTACACCCAGTCTGGACACAGCGGCGTGTTTTCACTCTTATCCAAAACCTGGTCTCTTGAGAAGAATGAGCCACTTAGCTGAGATTGTTTGTACTATAAGAATAAACCTGTTCCTTTATTAGAAATACCTTTCAGTTTGGTTTCTTTACTACCATTTCTGTAATTTTTTTGCAGAATACCGTTTTCTGGGTTGCTTTTTCCTGTTACTTCTCAAGATATTTTACAATAAATTCTTATAGATGTAATCCCTTTCTTTCAACTGGCTTTTGTCTCTGGAATGACATGCAGAGCTGAGTTAGGATGAGTGCTGTAAGCCAACCTTAAGGGGCCAAGTACCAGAATTGGCAACTTAATGAGAAACGTTTAAGTGGGTGCTTAACACATTTCTTTTAGGTGGTATTTCTTTTTAGGGAATTGAAACTGTGCTAAAAATAAACAAGCCTTGCCAATTACTCTGAGTTGGAGAACAGTGTTTATATCATTGGTCTTTTCACTGACCAGATCTCCTGATTTTGAAAGAATTGTATTTTAATATACCATATTTATTTTAATCAAGGGTCAAATGAAAGTCACATTAGAGAATTACATATGTTCTTGGCCTATATACATATCTTCATATGAACATGGGACAGAACTCTATTATCCTGTCCCAGCAATTGACATACTTATTGTCATTTTGTCATTAGCCTGCTAGATGTTGTATGGAGAAGATACTGTCCAATGCTTATTGTTCACTGAAGTGTTAGCGTTTCTCTTAAACAGGAGCTTGCTTATATTATAAGAACCTTGACAGGTCTTTCTTGGGCATTGATATACAGTCATCTTACAGTTTCTCTATTTAGTCCTAGAAAAATATATAAGAGGTTGATGAACGGTGCATCTTGATTTCAAAGTGGCCAGATGTTACACACAGATGTTGAAAGGGACTATCAAACACCAACCCCTTCCTATTTAGAAAATCTAATGAGCTATAGCTTCCTATCGCATCTGTGGCATCAATGCTCATCAAATGAATCCTCTTTGAAAGTCCAACCTTAGCAGACCTGGAAGAAAGGACAGGGCACCAGACTTTGGCCCACAGAAGGCCGCATGAAAATGGAAAGCGTCCGCTCAGAAACATTCTCCCCCCTGGTGTCGGTATGGTCACTAGCTCGCTTGGCCAGCACTTAAGCATAGAGCCTCCTCTGAAACTAATGTGACAGTTTGGAATAAAAATAGGGTTTGGGAAGGTTTATGTTTTAAATCCGTTGAAATCTCACTGCCTTGAGATAGCCAACAGCGACATTTTGATGACCATCCTTTCATACATTCCTCTGTGCTCATGTATTGAATATATATGTACATAAATATATACATACACCCATAGATACAAAAAAATAATGCACAGACACAAAGAACATTTATTGCTGACAAGATTATTATGTACTAATAAAGTGAATTATATCTTTACACTTAAACTACCTTTTATCAGAAACACAAACATACACAGAAAAGGGAGTATAGTCTTGCTTCTAAATCAAATCCCAAGACCTTTAAGTGACACACACTACCCTTTGACAAAGCAAATCTGTGTCTTACTCTGAGAAGCAAAAATAATAGTAATAATAAAACTAATGTGACATTATGAACTTGAAATTTCTACTGTCCTTTGAGGCAGACTGCCCTTGAACATTTCACTTCTCCACATTTTGTCCTGAGTGCAGAGGGGCCAGAACAATTGCCGTGGGAACTTCCACATTTCCGCAGGTTGGAAACGTGAGGGGGAAGCAAGAGGGCAACAGACTCACTCCACCGCTCTTGCAAAGGAAACGCGCTACCCCCTTCCTGCTAAAGTTAGGAACCACTCTGATGGTTGTCTCTTCCTCTCCCCTAAGGGATGGTACGAGGCAGTTGTCTGTTGTCTCTGAAGTTCTCACTTCTTTTCTCAGAACAGGTTCTTTCCTTATTTTATTCATTCTTGGTTCATCATCCAGTTATGCAACAAATAAGTACTTAGTACCTACTATGTGCTAGTCACTGTGCTACATCCTGGATATGAAGACTAATTCTATATTTGGTCTCTTAATGGACCCTACTTGCCACCACCCAAATCCACAACAGCCTTTCTGTGTGCTCTTCATTTACTTTCTTGAATATCCTCAGACTTTCCCACACAGTCCCACCAGCCACTTCTGTCGGCCATTGACCCAGTCCTTCAGATGTCTTCCAGTGCCCTGCGAACCCCAAATTGTGCAGAGTTGAGACAGGAATCCATATATCCAACGTTCAGTCGTTGCTGTGTGTATTGGATAAATCTAAAGATTGATTTCCTGCAGTAAGATAGTAAGTTAATGAGACCAAGTGCCAGAATCGACTCTTCCTTTTGTAACCGCAGGTATATCTATCAAATTCTTTGGACCTCAATTTTCCCAAGTGAAGCATGTAGAAGTTAGACCAGATAGTATCTAAAATCCCTTCTAGTACTATCATTTTCAGAATCTATGATTCCTAAAGTGTAGCTTTATTGTGTATGTTAATCACTTTTTAATTTCAGTATCAAAAGCTTTAGTGCACTTACATGTTGACTGGTCCTGGCTTCCAAAGGAAGGCAAAAAAATTTTGGATTAAGTACATTGTAATTTGTTGGCAGTACTCATGTCCTCAACAAGTGCAGCATGTCTTATTTAAACAGTTGCTTATCCTTGATAACAGTTGTATCAACACACTCTAATAAACTAGCATGCTGATTAGTCTTCCTTTCTCCCAGTTATCAGAATTACAAGACTTAAAAATTGGGTGGTTCTCAGGTCACTACATTTTGACCCCTTTAACTTCTGGAGTACCCACCCCATCTTCAGATCTTCATTTTAAATGAGATATGTTCCCAATTTCACAATATTTTTTGGTTTCTTCTCATAGTGTGGGCCACAAGTACTAGACACAATTGTTTTTGTGTGCTGTGAAATGTGGTTGTTTTTGTGATTTTAGAGAACTGCTGTTGGTGCTGGTTTGCTGCTCTACACCAGATTCTTTACATGTTATCTCACTTAGCTTTTACAGCAGCCTTTGGAAGTACAATGTATTATCTCCATTTTACAGAGAAGGAAATAGAATCAGAGAGATTATTAAATGGCTTGCCAAGGGTCACATAGCTAGTAAGTGGCACAGGTGGGATTCAAACACAGGCTCACTCTTCCCTAGGAAGTTCCCTAAGGGCCCTTTCATCAGGGACACGGAGTGCCATGCTCCAGGAATACCATCGGTATTATCTTCGGCATGAAGAGTGCCTCCTGGAGTTGTGCAAGAATTTTTGAAAATATTTTAGCCAGCACATTCCCAGATATTAAACAAGGGAGGAAAGAAGAGAGGGCTAGAGATTATGGGTAGTTTTAACTTTTTCCCTAGTTTTAACACAAGTATATCATTAAGATAACTTTTAAGCAAGTTTTTTGGACCTAAGAATGATGGAGTCACCAGGGACTTTTAAAATCATCTCGCTTTGGGGGTTTTTTGTTTGTTTTTGTTTCTCAGAACTTCCTTATATTAAAGAGATGAAAGTGAGGCTATTTTAGTGAATGGGGAAGATGATGGCACCCAGGCTGGGAATACCTCTCTGGTGCTGCGCATCTGGTCCAATCCTGTCTTTGGGAAACCTGAGACCCACCGAGTCTGAATGACTTTCCCAAGATGAGAGGACTGGGAAAAGTCTGCCTGACTCCCACTGAACCATCCTTTTTTTTAATATCAGTTCAAATAGGATCATCACTTAAGTATCTACAACTCCATGCTGTTCTTTTCTTGTACGTATTGATTATGTATATGCTACATGACAGCTTTTTCTTTTTCTCTTGGGGAGAGGCAGTTACACAGAAATGGGTTGTATGGAATGATTGAAATTGTCTCTCCAGACATATTTCCTTATCTCCAGAGGACAGCCTGCGAAGTTTGGATCCTCTGATGCCAGCTATAGTATCCAAGAGACACGTGTAAAGGCTGCAAGGCTGAGTGAAGGCCCTCACACACTGGAAGAGGGCAGGATGCTCTAGAGAGCATGACGGGGGAGCAGTGGTTTCTTCTCGTGCCTCTGTCAGCATCTCTTCTTCTCTGGATGGTTAGAAGACCAGTACGCTAGGACGGAGTCCTTCAGCCATGGTCATTCCTAACCTTCACTCTGCTTCTCTTTTAGTTCATTAAAAGCCACCACTTTAAAAAATGCAAAGCTATTCATTTAGTTACCAAGCAACCTACAGAGATTGAAGGCAGAGGGTTAGAGCCAGTCTTGACTGCTAAGAGTGAAGTCTTAGGTTCTTGTACGTCACACATACTTCTTCTGAGATGATTGCTCTGTTCTCTCTGTTTACTGTAAACAGAGATGATTTTATATTGTTATATGTGTGATAACACATTTGTACTTCAAAGATGCCTCAGAGTTAATCACATGGGTAGAACTTTAGACTCCAGAAAAGAGACTTGTATTCAACTAATTCATTTCAAAGAAACATATTCTGCCTCAAATAGTAGCAACAGTTTAGATAATGGGTGTGACACCTTAAGTCAAGGTCCCAAGGGGGACTTTGTTCTTTTGCTGTCTTCTTTCTTCCACAGTAAAATGTGAGGAAATCCTACATGGCTCCCCATTGCTATATTATTTACACTGAACTTTTGTAGTGATTACTGTTGATCTGTTATTTTTATTTTTTTAGCTAATACTGTGAACTATGGAAATCTTTAGTGGTATTTGCAACCTCTGTGTTAGAACCACAAAGTGGATTCTTAACAAACCTGTTTTCTTTTTCTATAATTGTTATAAATTATTTGCAAGAAATAAAGGATATATTCTTCAAGCCAAACTTACTCAAATTTACTCAGCA